TTCTCAGCAGCCCATTCTCATTTTCTCAGCCTTGGGGGGGCGGGGAAGGAGTAAAAAATGCCTGTGACTCCGGGATTTTTTCTTCCTGTTTTTGGAACAAAATTTCAAAACAAACTAAAACTTGAATAATGTGCAAAATAATTAGTCTGGAATAATTGGTAGGATACTGAAATGAGATTGGGGTTAGAAATGTTCATTTTCTATTTACTAACATGGGTTTAACGTTGAAAAATATGATTTGTAGGAACAGTAGAATGACCTAGATTTTCCATTTACATCATGAAAAAAGTCATCGCTATTAGCCCCATTTGGCAGTCTTGGTAGACACACCAGAGCAAGAGGAGGCAAGTAGACTCACCAGGCATGTAGAAGAAGAAGGGGAAGCTTGCAGGATTTCATTTTCCAGAGATGTACGAACAAGAGTAATAAATCTGCTCACAAAAACACATGAAAGAAATAATCCAGAAGAAAAGCGTTCCGAAAGTAAGCCTTCGGTTTTGTACCTCATCGGTATGTTTTGGTGTTTCAGCCCGTTTAATACAGATTGATCCCCCAGTGCTCTTAAACTCTGGCAAATCCTCTGCATTATGAAGCAGATTGGGAATGTCAATGGAAATTTTATCTAAATTCTCCTGTGGCATTAGGTCAAAGTCTGGCATTGGCTAATTGTAACCTCTTGTTTGTTCTATATTTAAGCATTTGGGGCAGTGATAACATCATCAAATAGAAATGCTGCCTTCCCCCTCCCCGTTAACTTCCTTTTGTATACTTATTTTGAAGCTGTACAAGTAAGTACAGGAAAGCAGGTTACCTCCTCAGACTCTTCATCATGTGCCCAGGCATCCCTTGAAGAAAAAAAAAAAAAAAAAAAAAGAAGAGTAGAAAAAGAGTAGTTAAAAATGAAATAGCCTTTGTAAAGAAAGACAAAAAAATTGAACAAATAGCCACAATCCATGGTATTAAAATGACATACCAGAAATGGAAGAACTGTGGTTTACTCACATTACGCTTCATTCTATAATTTTGGAAGTTAGTGATCTGAGAATCCACCAGGTTGTTAGGTTTATCGTTATCATCGATATATAGTAAAGATAGGCAGTGGTAGCATTAGAGAACTAGGGATTTATGTTTCGAGTATGTTTAGAAGTGCTGAATGTCATTTAAAGAAAGAAAAAAAGAAATGGTTCACAGTCAAATTCACTGAGAAGTGTTCAAATATGCTAGTGGAGCTACCTCCTTCACACGGAGAGCAGAGTTTGCTGAGGACAAGTGGTGTGTGGCCAGGTCACATCCTGCCCTGGCGCTCAGGGCATCGTCAGGCACACGTTTTGGCCGAGGGATTGCTCTCGGATCTCCCAGTTTCAGGATAAGCTGCATGAACCGGACAGCCCTGGTTGCATCTTGCTCCTGTAGGTCCTCCTCCTCCTCTAGGAATTGTTCGTAGCAGCGTGTGTATTCGCTCAAATACGGATAGCACACAAGGAAAGGCTAAGAGCAGGCCAATAAATATATGCTTAGTCATTCCGAACCTTAATCTTTTTTTTTTTTTTTTGCAAGCTTTGGTAAATTCTGCTTGGCCCCAGTACCACCATGTCTGGGTTGGGGCAGATGGTCTTACACATTCCGTTTTTTGCTCTTCTCAGCAAATGTATTTCAGAGTCTTCCTGGAACAACTTGATCAACCTAGGCTAGCCCTTTAAGGTTTTGGCACTAAGATCTTTCGGTCTTAAGCTCAGATTTGGGAAGAGTAAGTTGTGGCAGACTCATGAGAAGTGGGTAGCTGAAGTGTCACCCACTGTTTCTTCAAGGACTTTGATCTGACCTTGGATTTTTCGTTGCCTTTGCCGTCGTTTCCTTCCCTGTTCATCCCTTCTCTCCCCGCTCCCCTGAAACAGCTTGGTACGAGTTAGATCAATAACATCAAACAGTTGAACTGAAGTACGTTAGTCATTTGTTCCAAACCAAACCAAAAAAAACCACCCATCCTCAGACCAAAAACGTTTTTATCACTTTCAGTCTGCAGTAAATGTAAAATCTAGTTTGAGCTGTTGTCAACTAACAGTAGAGCAGCATCATGCAGCACCAGTACAATGAAGTAACTGGGGAGCTCTGCTGGATGGAGGAGGAGAAATATTTTTCTTTATTTTGGATGGCCTGTTGAGGTCTTTGTACCCTGTTTCCCTAAAGGTTAAATGGCAAACGCAGGCTTCGTGCAAAGATAATAATTGGAAGTCTCAGTGTGAAATGCGGACTAGTTCCCCTGGAAAAACAAATTTTCATGTGGGGTTAGAAATGCTTGCAACTGTGGGGAAAATAAGAAGCCACAAATCTGAGGACTGAAATCACGCAGAAACTCCCAAGTGGTTTCAAAGTCCGAGATGTAAACTTGCAGCTACAACCACCCCGAGAGCAAACGCTCATTTGCTGCTATGCAAGGACAGCAGCAACCTGTTTGCAACCAACCGTGTTTGTTGCAAAGGTGATGGGAGTACTCTGGTATTCTGCACACCAATATTACGCCAAGAGCAAAGAAAACAAGCCAGCAAATCTCTAGATACTTCGATGAAAGTAGTAGCGAAACGTTGGTAAAATTGAAATCTCCACAGATGTTTGGAGAAAGCTGAGAGTGATCTGAGGAAGTTCAGTTCATCTTCAGATTTTCCTGACTTTATTAAATTCATCAACCTTAAACTGTCATACAAAGAGCCTGTCATGAAATTCTGCAGCTTCTTTCTAAAAGACCGTGAGAAGATAGGATTTATGTCGGGGACACGTGAAGAACTATAATGTCTGTGTTGTGGGTCATTATGGGTAGCGTTAATAAATCAGAACATTTAAGATTAACTATTTGGCTGTAGAAAAGTGAATTCTCGTTATCAGCATATATTTCTAAACCACTTGTGGCGGTGTTGAGAATTGGCTTGACCTATCTCTTGGCCAGCTGAGAATCTGCCTTTTGGTTTTGGTTTCCTTCAGCTGTATGCGTCCTTGTGGGTTAGATGGGACATCTCAGTATCAGTTCAGTTTCTGGCAGAAGCTGGATGGGCTGTATGTGAACAAAACAAATCCAGAGGAAACTGGTCAAGGTTACGGTGGCAAGGACAGCCGAGGAAAAGTTTTGAAGAAGCCCTGTCTAATATCAGCCCACATTTCTGTTACCAAGAAAATACAAAACTATTATATTAAATAAAATGCGATTGCATGGATGTTATCTCCTAACCTAAAAGGCAAGCTGGATTTCTGATTTCATCTACACTTTAAAGCCACTCTTGGGCTTAACAACAGATGAGCAGGATGGATACATGAATTTTCAGCAGCTGAAGTGAATGTGTACTTTGGTTGCAATCTGAGGCGCCGTGCCAGGGCAGCTGACAGACAGCAGTACAAATATATTCCTTTTGCCTGCTCTGGTACTCTGTGAAGTGTGAGTTTGTGTAGTGAGGGCCTGCAGACCTACGTGGTATCAAGTCAACTAGACACTGTAGTAATTAATGGAAAAAAGGCAGAGGCAGAGCAGATTCCACCTGTTCATCGTGCCATTTTGGAAAGCCTCCTCAGTGCCGTGAAAGATGCTCATCTCCAGGAGGCAGGTGGATATACTGGGCCCAATTTTTTGCTGGCTGACACCCGCTTCAACTTCTCTGTCTGCAAATTGGCACGGGTGTCAGTTGTTGGAAGAGGAAGTCATTAAAGACTTAAGATGAAAGACTTAAGCCTTTTAAGGGCTTGGATGATTCCAAAGCCATCCCATACTTCAGCTCAGGAGATAAAATAATCTCCATTTTTTAGCTCATAGTTTTCCTACTAAGCAAGTTTCTGCGTGAGTTGTAGAACCGGATGAGCCCGTTTTCCCATGGATTTGTGTCTCTTTCCCATGCAATATATTCGCTTCCTCTGCATCACCAACCCCATCTCTGCTGTGGTACTCGTGGCAGGGGAGGGCCTGCAGTGTTTCTGCTGCTCATACCCAGCCTGGGTTCCCCGGCTCCTGTGAAAAGGATCATTTAACACCTCCGTCTACCTGCCTTTCCTTCCTTGCAAACACAACTTGGGGTCTCTCTCGTCTACCCAGCAATCAGTTTTAACCGATTTGCAGGATTGCAGTTGTCTTTGAGATTTGTGCCTGCCTTTCAGATCTGCCTGGGAGTGGTCTGGGGTTCAGAAGTTACTAGGGTAACGTTGGCAAGCAGACGGATTGCTTCAACCTCATCCTGGGAAACCAGGCTAAAAATAGGTTACTGAGGCTCAAGGTTAAAAGTGATGGCATGACAAAGCAGTGCCATTAAAAAGCTAGCTTTAAAAATATTCAAGGACTGTATTCCCCTGCCAGTGTCGGTGCATATGTTACTAGTTACAGAAAAAGGCTTTGTGAAAGTTGTATCTAGCAACATCTTACTAGAGAATTGTGCTGGTGGTTGGGTTTTCCCTTGGACACAGTAAGTTTTAGAGATGGTTTTTCAGTTTAGTGACATACTATAGCAGCCTACATGCCAACCGTGCATGATGTAGGACTATGCCAAACGTTTAGAAATCTAGTTCGTACCAAACTGAAACAAGTGTGCCGTATTTGAACCGACACAGGAAGTGGCTAGTGTCCAGAGAGATACACCCTGGGGATTGCTTGATTTCCAAAGGGATGCTAAGAAAAGGGAGCGCTTCGGTTCTTGGCAGCTCAAATGAGAGCCCCAGTAAATTTTGGTGCGCCATACACACCCGTCCCTTCCCCTGACCTGCTGACCTGCCCTTTTACTGGGACTCACTTCCCCCAGCTCGCTGCATCCTTCTCTTGGCTTAGAAACCAGTAGGGAGAAAAAAACGCAAGTTTGTTTAACTGTGTGTGTGCTTTCTGTGAAAGAAATTGTGATTTTTTTTTTAAGCTTTCTTGTGGGTGGGGAGGTTACTTGGCGCCCATACTTGGCGCATTATATTAAAAATTGATCACAGCTTGCTGGCAAGAGATGCACTGCTTCTAACCAGTGGATTCGCCTGCTTTATCCAAGGTCCAGTTGAAAAGTGAAGAATCGAAAACGTTTGCCATGAAGATATTGAAGAAACGGCACATAGTGGACACGAGACAGCAGGAGCACATACGGTCAGAGAAGCAGATAATGCAGAGCGCTCACTCGGACTTCATCGTGAGGTACTGTTCCTCCAGCCTATGTGCTCGGTCCCCCAGTGAAGGAAAGTATAGAAAATCTCAGCGTTTAAAACCACATTCTGATGAAAACGGCGTAAGAATAATCCCTGCAGCACTGTAAAAACATTTGAGCCGTAGCTTTCCTGCAAGTCACTGCAAAGATGGCACCATACGACGGGGACTTTCCCAGGCTAACGGGAGATTATTCTGCCCATAGAGAATGGGAGACTTGTGCCCGTGCTATCACTGTGACACCAAGCCTAAATTAAGCCTGTGGCTTAACTTATTTGCTCAGGATTGGTGCCATGCTAACACGACTGCTTCTGAGCAAACACATAACCAGCCCAGAGCGCAGGCCGAGCTTGCCAATGTCTGTGTGTGGTGCTCCATGTGGACATACCCTCTGGGACTCAGCATTAACTTAGCTCAATATTGAATTTCCTCTGTTGCAAATGGACTCGAAAAGGCAGGGCTTGCTCTTTCTAGATCATGAGCCATCACGCGAATAAAGGTTCAGTGGTATTCAGCGCTTCTCTTTATAGCATGCTAGCTAGATCCAGTTCTCTGTCGCTTAACTCTTCACGAGTAAATGCACTAAAGCCATATCCCTACGCAAAACGGTAGGAGAGGCAAGTTTTCAATGTGTAAAAACAGGGGCCGGTCACTTTTGTTTGCTTTTACTGTAACAGCCAAATTCTCTAACACTTGAAGAATTGCGAATATTTGTCAACAGAAAGAAGAGAGGATCCTTATTTGTTTTAGGTTAGAATAAGAGTACTAAACAGTTGGGACCTGTGATAGGCAGGGTAACGCCTCTGGCCGAATGGGAGCTATCTCAAATGAGACCTCTTGTCTAAGCTGGTCGCCAAGGCTCCCTCCGCAGCCAGCGCAGAGCAGAGGGAGCCTCACAGGGCCGATTCATCCCGCCCTAAAAAAGGTGACTGAGGCACTT